GTGGGGTGGGGCGTGGTGGGGCGGGGTCCTCATTAGCCTACCGAGATGACCAAATCTCCCTCGAGGTTGATTATATCCGCGCTAAAAGCTGCAGAGAAAGCAGTCTGCAGCCTGCACGCTGCGAGCCCAGCAGCTACGCCTTCCCTTGTGCCCTCGGTGCCCTCACACTCCGTTTCTTCTTCCTCGCCCGCTTGAACCGTTTACTCTTGGGGCCGAAAAAGAGGGGGTTGGGGCAACACGCGGCATACACGATCGCCTTGCGTACGTTCATCATTCCTTCTCCTAATTCCGTTTGCCGGCGTCACTTAACGACAATTGTCTGCGTTTAATTATTTCTTTAAAAAATTTAGCACAGACTCACCAGCCGCTCCCAGCTCGCCGGCGCGTGTCCTGATGGTGCTGACCGCCGCCGGCGCCGCCGGGGACTTCCTGTTCCTGCCCACCCGAGACCGAGGGCCATGTTCACCGTCCAGAGTCCGTCACGTCCTCGACGGGGAGGTGTCCTCCTGAGCGCAGCTCCTCGTCGCCGACCTGGAGTCGTCGCGCTGGTGTCCGGGTCCCGCACACAGCCAAGCAGCACGAGCAGCAGCAGCAGCAGCAGCAGCAGCCAGCAGTTTCTAGCACCCCGCACCACCGCCCCCTGGAAGAAAAATAAAACAAAGGGAGCGCCGCGGAGACTGTTATTGTTGGCTGTTTGTGTTCGGGGCGGGAGCGCGACGAGCAGCGCGGCGGAGAGCAGACCTCCAGGACCTCCAGGACCTCCAGCAGACGGCGGCGCGATGCACTGCCCCGCGGTGCACTTCAAAGGATATCGGGCGCCGCCCGCACCTCGACAAAGTTTTGAAGTAAAGGGGCGCGGGATTGAAGAGAGAGGCGAGCGGGGGGAACGAGCCCTGGGGGGATTGTACACAATCCACGATCCACCATCACCATCCGCGGCGGCGCGGGGGTGGGAGGGGAGGCGCAGCAAGAGGGGGCACGTCTGGCGGACGGGGAGGGCGCGGCGGCGGCGGCCTTCCTCCTCGCGGCAGCAACAACTTCTCAGTTATTCCCCCCCTCGATAAAACTCGTCGATGCATCGTAAAGCGGATCTGGCGTTTCGCGGCGTCTTTTCCCTCCCTTCCCTCTTCTCCCTGTCACTTTGCACAACTAGTATGGAAGACGCCTCGCGGCGAGCCTCGCGCGGTGTGGAGAGTGCGGCATTACAGAGACGGGCGAGGCGACAACAGAGGCGAGGGTCGTCACAATGAATCCTCGCCGCGCGCGTCGCGGTACAAGCACAGGTGTGAGAGCGACGAGTTACGTACCCCGCAAGAAGAAAATGTGCCTTCTGGTGGAAGAGACAGTCTTGGGGACGGTCTAAAGAGCGTACGCCGGCGTACTCCGCAGACAGCAGGCTGCGCCGCCGCGACTTGCGGGCGGATGTTGTTGGTTGTTGGTCACCCCTTAGGTCGTCGGGGTGAACACAGCAGCAGCCGCCGCCGGGGGGTGCGGTGCGCAGGCGGGCTGCAGACAGAAAACACAAATGTAAAAAGTCAGCAGGCTGGTTTCATCTTGCTCCATGAGTTTAGATTACTGAAACTTTCGGTAGAGAGGAGGATGACGGGGAAAAGGGGCGGTTTGGGGGGGAAGCGGCCGGGCAGAAAGAGAACCCAGAGAAGGCAGGCGCGCACACGTTGCCCACAGACAATGCAGTTGTTGTTGTGGAACAGGAGCGGCTCGGAGCGGTAACCAAACCACACCTCGGCACAGGACTGCACGGGCCACTCTGAGCTCTGGCATTCAGCAACTCTGCCTGCCGGTTCAGTATAAACAGGTTTACTCCGCGCGCTGCTCAAATTTGCCACCCCAAGTGAAAGCACGGAAACACCATAATAATGAACCATCCCCGGTAAACCTGAAATGAAAACGGATCTAGGAAACAACAAGACGGAAATCACCGTGCAATGACATTGGTGACTTCTGATTTCTCGTTCCTCGTCCGCAAAATAACCGGCAGTCTAGCAGGTTATGTAGGTTGTGTGTGTTTAGTTTCATTGATTGAGTTTAGAGCGGCCCTGCCCTACCACTACGACCAGCCGATGATCCCCCATCCACATGTGGCAAGGCAAAACAAAAACATGGTCGCCCGCATTCTACTTTCAAACTCGAATCTCTGCATACTCACGATAGCGTGGTGGCGCGAACAAACACTAAGAAAACAGAGGGGGAAACTTCACTCCGACACACTAATAATAAACACATAACCAACACACACCGCGACAGGAGACGAGACTAACTAACGACCGGAACCGGAAAGACTGCAGGAGAACAGAAAACAGCGGAGGGCGACTAGCGCTACTAACGAGCGCGGGGCGAACTACGAGATATTTGAATCTGAGAATGTCGGAACGACAGACAGGTTGTACACAACCTTTGCACAGAGTAGCTACCAGACAAAAAGGTGGTGCGAGCCCATGCAACAGCTCACCCAGAACCGTTGCTAAACGACATAGATAGAGGAATGAGAGGTTTACTGTATGGCTGGGGACAGGGAGACAAACATGACTCACTGACCGACTGTTCACCAACACCACTGTTCACAACTGACTGGAGAGCGATTGGAGAGCTCACGGTGAGCTCACCGGAAGCGCCTTCTAGAGCGCCTTCTAAACCGCTCAAAACAGGGTGAGGGGGGTGGTGGAAACGTTCTGAGAACGTTCTTCAAGTGAGCTCACCGTGAGCTCTCCAATCGCTCTCCTGTGTATTCACAGATATAGACAGTTGACGGACCGGCCGCCAGGGGGCAGCACATACAAACACTGCTCATCTGCCGACTGAATGAAAGAGTCACAACTCTTTCGTTCAAGTTTGCGGGTTGTAGCTGCAACTGTGTATCCTTAAGGGGATTACGGAGCTCCGCTGCGCCTTCTAAAAAACAGGGTGAGGGGGTAGAGGGGGGGGCAATTAGAAGGCGCTTCCGGGGAGCTCCGTAATACCCTTCCTGCGTGCGTAAAATGTCCTCAAAAATTTGCCGCAGAATCCTCAGAAATGTTCTAAATATCCTCCAATCGACGTACATTTCACTAAATCATCTCGGCACGGGGGAAGAGGGGATGGGAAGCGGCGGCGGCGCTCGGCTAAAAGCACTGAGGCCATAATTAAATGCAAGAGGCAGTGGTATGACTTGTGGCCCACCAGCCCCGCGACGCCGCCGCGACGCCGCACCTCCGTGCCCCGCCGCGCCGCTCCCCGTCCGCGCACAGTTTGCAGAGAGTTGGAGCGCGTGGTGGAGGCAGCAGCCTCTCAGCTCCACGAATATAAGGGGCCGCCCCGGTACCGCTTCAGTCGCGGTTATAGCGAGTGCACAGTGGAGTACACCACCGTGGGCCTTGGGGATAGCGGGTGGCCGGGGGGG